AAAATAAAAAAATAAAGAAAACTGAAGTTAACTCTGAGATGAACATGTAGAAACACTCCCAACAGTAAAACTCATTAGACTGTGTAGCATGGTATCCTAGACTAAGTCCCAGCGCTGGGATATTTAGAAGCAACACCCTAGACACCATACTGTAGGAATCAATCCTGAGCTGGCACCACAAAGATTGAGAAGTGGTCTCATGGGGTTTTTCCATCACACAATTTGGTTAGCTAACCTATAAATACATGACATTTACACATAAACACTAAGGTTTTCATACCAAGCAAAGAACAACAAATCTTACCAGGCAAATACCAGACAGAGCCCTGCCCCACTGTCCCTGTGTAGGAGACACAGGTACCAATTGGTTGCATACTGGAACCCACTGTGGGATGCTCATCCGGTTCCTCTAGAGAAAGAAAAAAACAATCTGTCAAGAATATGTATCAGACTCCACATGTAGAAGTCAGAACATATCTAAATTTAGAAACCCTAACAGAACATTAAAATGGAACTTAATGGAAGGGTAAACTTAAAATGGAAGAACTTCCAAAACAGGATGAGGGTGACCAAGGCTCCCCATGCTCCTCTCTCCAAGGATAAGATGTACCCCTGCATATCTATTCTTGATCCATAGACTACTCCAGTAATAGTTGACTCAAGCAGGAAACATGGGCTCCCTCTCAGGACAGTACCAAAATAAGCAGACCTCAAGCATTTTACAATTAGATTATCACTTAAACTAAAGTCTACAATTCCTTTACATAAACACTGACTTATCTGATCTTCATAGTATCCCTTTATAGTAAACAGTGTGAGACAACGCATCATCCTCAAAAGGATGAAGAAACTAGGCTGAAATTTTTAGGGTGGTAAACACACATGGGCAACTTGATTTCTAAGACAAAAGAGAGATTAAATGGCTGTTAGAGCTATGACTGAGGTTCAGTTTTTCCCTCTGGCATTAACTAACCTCAGAAATGTCTCAAAGTGAAAGCCCAGGACAGAGAGAAAGGTCTCAAAGTGAAAGCTCCAACACCCTATGACCTAGTCTTATACCATTTAAAACCCAACATAATACTGTGGAAAAAGCAATGTACTTGTAACCAGAAAGCACTGATTTGACTCTTGGCTCCACTGTTGGTGAGCTACAAGACTTTTGTTGCCTCTTCTATAAAATAGAGAAAAATCCCTACTTCTTAGGATTTTCAGAAAAACCAACAAATCTATTTTGCAGTAGGTCTAACTCAATAATATTATGTTGAATCTCAATCTCCATTTCATGAGTAAGCAGGAAGGGGAAGGGATGAGGTAGAGAAAGCTGTTAGAATTTTAAGACTAGAGATGCTTTCTAAAGGATCTCAGAGTTTTAAAACAGCATAACGGTGTACCTGTTTCTAATAGGCCACTCACAGTGTTTGAAATGGAAAGTAAAGCTTAAAAATACTTCATTTCAGCTGAGGTTTGATCTATGGGGATGGTTTTCAAATGAGAGATATTTACTGGGTTTTTGTTTACCAACACTGACAGGTTTACCAGGATCATTCAATGTTAGATGTTACTTTCCTAAAAATGTAAATACCATATGGGATGAAGTGAAACTTCTACAGATTAAGGCCCAAAGAGAGAAAATAAAAGTAAGAGGAAATTACAAGTAGGGACAATGCAAACTTTTCGAAGATTTTCTGAAGAATTTCATCGTTATTTTTTCCAATGTCAACAAAACTTTTCTCTGTAATTTTGGCTCTAGTTGGTCTTATGCCAATACTTTAAATTGGTTCTTATTAGAAGAAAGGAGCAATCAGCTCTGTTCTTTCCTTCTCCAATCCTACAACAATTCTTGTCTAAACACTCAATCGAAACTGCTGAGGTGTAGCAGAAAGGGTATTTGATTCCCAAGCCTGCCATTAAATAATTGCACAACACTGAACTAACTCAGTTACTCAGTTCTCTGTGTCTCCACTTCCCCTTATTTAAAGTGTGAATAATAAAAGCTACCTCATAGGAGTGTTCCAGATCACTGTAAAAGCACTTTTGATAAAAATAAAACACATACACAAAGGCATCATTATTAACAACTGTTACTGAATTATGTAAGTAAGCTCCTTCTTCCCTAGCAAACTGTCAGAGCAGCAAGAACCATTTTCTTAAAACACTATTTTGAACCTGGAATTCCCTTTCTCAAAAGTCTGCAGTGCCTCCAAGTGCCTCTTTAGTCAAACTTAAACATCTGATCTTTAACAACTGGACCCCTTAAGACTCATCATCATACTTACATACCTTGCTTTGTATTTTCCACTCAGCAGTTCCAAAACCTAACTAAGATTCTCTGGTTTGGGAATTACTGCTCCTCTCTACACAAGCTAATCCCCTTGTAGTCAGTCCCTCTGGGATTCTCTTCTTCACTCCTACCCAAATCATAAGCTCATTTGCTTTAAGAAGTCTCTAGGCCTAGACTCCAAGGTCTGGTTCTACAGATTCTATTCAGTCCATTTTCCTTCCACCTCTCCCAACACTTTACTTACAAATACAAATCTGTGGAAGTACTTCTCTCTCTCTTACATACTAATACAGGTACTAATATATTAGGCTTAAAACAATTAGCAGACCTTAAGTTCTCCCAAGTTCAGAAAAACATTTATAGCCATTTCTGATAGTTAAAATTATTGCTGTAAATTACAATAATATATACATCAATACAAGAGGGAACTGGTTTTATTGTCTTTTTGCTTTGCCAACACTTCAAAACCAGAAGTTTAAATATAGGTTATTTTCTGTGTATATTGTAAATTGCAGGCAATTGTATTTGTATTTCAAAATATTCTGACAGACCAGCTCACTTTTTTTACTATACTTTAATCAGTCCACTGATGGGCCTGTTCTACATGTGATTTTAAGATACATAAATACTTTCCTTGGCTCACTCATAAGCTGGAAAAGGCTTTACAAGTAGTCGATTCTCTTATTCCCCATAGTTATATTTTATAAGGGACTGCAAACACTGAGTTAGCAAATATCAAACCATTGCTCCTAAGAGAAAAACATGGGTTAGGTTCCTGCAAGCTATTGTTCACATTTTCATCAACCTATCAATATATAATCTTGTTTTATGTGTGTTTTTTGTTTAAAGACATCTTATTTAACATACATACTGTAAATTCATTTACATTGAACTCATAGCCAAGAGCACTATAACTCACTTCTGAGTGAATGAAGCTTATCTCTTAAGGGAACATCACAGCCTCCTTGTACTTAGCAAAGCTAGATGGCACTTTAGCCATACACTTGGAGGCCATTTCAAACAGGGAAATCACCAACAAAAGCACAAAAATGCAAAAAAGATGGCACTAAATAGACCATGAAAAGGATACTTATATAAAAGGTGAAACAGTAAGTCAGAGTATCACTTTGACCTCAGCTAGGAACACAGATGTTGCAGCTCAAATTTGTCACCCCTTTGCACATGTCCACAAATGACTGCAAAAGCACCATGACTATTGATTTTGGGATTACAAATAAATTTTAGCAAGTATGTAAATTCACAAATACAGAATTTGTGAATAATGAAAATCAACTATTGTCACCAAATCTACTCTGTGATTCTCCAGTGGTGGCTATATTCTGAATGTCTTCCACACTGATTTAATTCCATAGTCTAAAGTACAAACACTACTGCAGCAAACTCTCCTGCAAGTTACAATGTAGCATTCTACAAAAGGGTAATTGTATACAGGAGCAGAGAATGTTCAACCCCTTCTTCCAAACTTACCTAATGCTCTGCCTCTTACCACTTTTTGGGGGTATCCAATCTGAGCTTTCAAAAGATTTATTCACATACAGGAAGGATTTGAGCAAATCGGTAAATATATTAAGGATGAGGGGTCAGGTTTCTATCAGAGAAAGGTGTTAACAAATATGAAAAGACAGAAGGGTAGAATAAACCATCTGGTACTGAGTTGGATTTAGAATAACTGGTATGGATTTTTATTATATACCATTAAATAAAGAATTAACTGTGTTTATGTACATGTACACACACACATATATTTTCTACCCCAGTCCTGATGGGGCATGGAAGCAATGACACCCAAGTAGCAATGACTACACATAACATCCAGACTAAGTTCCTAAACAGCAATATTCACTAAAAGGAACTAGTCTTCTTTATAGAGAAGTGGACTCCTGAATGGGGTTGGTGTTCCTCAAAGACTTATTCACAAAGAACTGGCATTAGCTGTTCTGTCTAGTAGTTCCCTGGAAGACTCCATTTGCAATGCTGTTTTGGATCCCATCCAACATGAAAAACATTTTCTCCAGAAAACTGACAACAAATAGAGGTGAATGTTTACCTTTGCGGCTGCCTTAGGCAGGGGCTAATAACTGAGGAAAACAATAAGCCAACCAAAAACCTTAAAAGGAAAAATAGGGGTATGAGATGTTCATAGGGGCTTTGAAAAGCTTCAGAATACTCCCGGGAATCTGAAGGGTAGGCACTGCCTAGAGCTGTGCACATGCCCAGAACTGTGAGCAAGATCAGGAAAGACCTGAGAATGCCCTAAGTTCTCATCTCTGGTTGACCTTGAGGCTCTGCACAAGCAGGAAGTAAAGGTTAAGGCAGAGCTGTTAAATGGCAGAATGTTGAAGGCTTAGCTCCCAAACTGGGAGACTTAGGTTCCAGGTATTTAAGAATATCTCCACCTAATCATTACCTGACCACTAAGATAACTGAGCAGAGATCACACAACAAAGAATACAGACTTTACAGAATTAATTCAGAATAGTCACTCAACAGAAAAACTCTGGGAAATGAAAGAGTAGATTTCCACAGTTGCCACATTATAGTATTTAAAAGGCCCAGCTTTCAACAAAAAAATTATGAAACGTAAAGAAACAGAAAAGCATGGTCCCTAGATAGGGGGGAAAAAATAAATCAATAGAAACCATCTCTAAGGAAGCCCAGGCATTAGACAAACTAGACAAAGACTTTGAACCAGCTATTTGAAATGTTTAAGAGGTATGTAACATATTAAGGAAATCATGTCTAAAGAACTATATAGCAAAGTATGAGAACAATATCTCACCAAATAGAGAATATCAATAAAGAAAGAAATTATTAAAAATCCAAATTAATACAATTCTGGAGTTGAGAAGAAGAATAAATAAAATGAACACTTCCCTACAGGTGTTCAACAGCAGATGTGGGCAAAAGAAAGAATCAGTGACCTTGAAGATAGGTCAAGTGAGATTAACTAGCCTGAGGGAAAGAAAGGAAAAAAAAGAATGAGAATTTAGCAGATCCTCAGAGACCTATGGGACAACATCAAATGTACCAACATCTATGTAATGGAGGTCTCAGAAGGAAAGAGAAACAAAGAGACAGAAAAAATATCTGAAATACTGGCAGAAAACATCCCAAATTTGATGAAGAAGATTAATCTATAAATCCAAGAAGCTCAACCAACTCCAAGTAGGATAAATCAATAAAGACCCACAAATAAATGTATTATAATCAAGCTGTGGAAAGACAAGGATAGAATACTGAAAGTAGCAAAAGAAGCAATTCATCATGTACAAGTGATGCTCGATGACATTAACAGCTGACTTCTTAGAAACCAAGGAGGCCAGAAGGCAGTGGGATGAAATAAATATTCAAACTGATTTAAAAAAAAAAACATCAAATAAGAATTCTGTATCCAGCACAATTATCATTTAAAAGTGAAGGAAAAATTAAGACTTTTAAAATAAAAACTGAGAGAATCTGTCAATGCACCTGCCCTGCAACAAGCACTACCAAAAACACTAAAGGGATGAGAGAATATATTTGTAAATGACATATCTGACCAGCAGTTAACATCCAAAATATATAAAGAACTCACATGCCTCAACACCCAAAAATCAAATAACCAGATTAAAAAATGGGCAGAGGATATGAAGAGACAATTTTCCAAAGAAGAAATTCAGATGGCCAACAGACACATGAAAAGATGCTCCACATCACTGATTATCAGGGAAATGCAAATTAAAACCACAATGAGATGTCACCTCATACCAGTAAGGATGGCCAGTATTGAAAAGACTAAGAACAACAAATGCTGGCGAGGATGCAGAGAAAGGGGAACCCTCCTACACTGCTGGTGGGGATGTAAGCTGGTTCAACCATTGTGGAAAGCAATATGGAGGTTCCTCAAAAAACTAAAAATAGAAATAACATTTGACCCAGAAATCCCACTCCTTGGAATTTACCCAAAGAATACAACTTTTCAGACTCAAAAAGACATATGTACCCCTATGTTTATCACAGCACTATTTACAATAGCCAAGATATGGAAGCAACCTAAGTGTCTATCAGTAGATGAATGGATAAAGAAGATGTGGTACATATACACAATGGAATACTATTCAGCCATAAAAAAGAAACAAATCCTACCATTTGCAACAACATGGATGAAGCTGGAGGCTATTATGCTCAGTGAAATAAGGCAGGCTAAGAAAGACAAGTGCCAAATAATTTCCCTCATTTGTGGAGTATAACAATGAAGCAAAACTGAAGGAACAAAATAGCAGCAGACTCACAGACTCTAGTGGTTACCAAAGGGAGGGGTATGGAAGGGCGGATCAGGAGGGAGGGATATGGGGATTGAGGGGTGTTATGTTTAGTACACACAGTGTGGGGGGTCACAGGGAAAACAGTGTAGCACAGAGAAGGCAAACAGTGAATCTGTGGCAGCTTACTACACTGAAGGACAGTGACTGCATTGGGGTGTGGGTGGGGGCGTGATAATAAGGGTAAATGTAGTAACCACATTGTTTTTTCATGTGAAACCTTTATAAGAGTGTATATCAATAATACCTTCATAAAAATTTTTTAAAAAGATCTTTCTCTCTTGCCTGAACACCAACTCTCCCACTGCTAAGAAAAAAAAAATCTTCAGCTGGATATTCTCAGCAAAGGACACTGCTATTAACTCAGTCACCCAAGGCAGACCTGGGACTCACTTCGGACTCCTCCCTCTCCCTCACCCTCATAACATCTAACCTCTCATCAAGCCTTGTAGATTCTATTTCCTCCATACTCTTAAAACCATGCATTCCTTTGTCCACACTGCCCCTATTCTTTAATACAGGCCCTCACCACTTCTTCCAGGATTACTTAAGTAGCTTCTGATGGGCCTTGGGGTTTCCAATCTCAGAGTCTCTGATTCAAACACAACTGCTACAGGGATCTATTAAAAGAAAAATCTAGTAGTGGGTATATGAGTGTTTACTGTGTTGACTTTTATTTTTTGTACCATTTTATACTTCAAAATAAGTTTTTAATTTCAATTAAAAAATGAGAGAGAAACAAAGGTGTTCCCTGATCAGTGGTGGCTGGGGGTCAGAGGAGGAGGGCAGGTGGGGGAATGAGAGGTAGCCAGCAACAGGAGAAGAGGATTGCAAAAGGATGCAAAAAAATTTTTGGAAGTAATGGATATGTTCATTATTTTTATTGTGGTGATAGTTTTTCAGGTGTATACCTGTATCAAACCTTAACAAATTGTACTATTCAGATGAGTGCTATCTGTAGTATGCTGGTTATTCCTCAATTCAAAAATTTTAAATGAGGGAAAAAACAGTAACTGCATCAAAAGACCTGTATAAATAAATCTGCTCGCTCAAAATACTTCAATGGTTTCCCTCTGCCTGAGGATAAACTTCCAGCTCCTACCCATGATTCACAAGGCCCTGCCTCCTGTCTTGCCACTTCCCCATAAATACCCCTGAGTCCAGCCAAACAGACTTACTTACAGTTCCTTGGTTGTCTAGCATTAGTAGCATAAGCTAATGCTTCTCTTCTGTGACTTTCCCCCATTCTCTATCTAATGCTCTCATTTAGTTCAGGCATCTCTTCCTGATGGATGCTTGTCCTCAAGCTAAGTTAGGTGCCTCTTACTCTGCTCCCATAGCACCTGGTATAGACTTCTATCACAGCATTTCAAGTATCATATTAGTACTTTTCTTTTTTGTCTGTGCTATTAGATTATAAACTTGAAGGTAAAGTATGTTTTTCATCCTCAATCCCTTGGAGAAGTTCTACAACATAGTAAATACTCAAAATGGTTCAACTAAAAGAAAAGGAAGACAAGCATTTAAATGTCACTTGCATCAACTGATTCTCCTATCAACCCTAACAAACTCACTGTTAAGAAAATGTGAGGCTCTGACAAGTTAGGTGACTTGCTCAAGGTCACACTAGAGTAAGTAATGGAGCCAAGCCTTCAACCAAGGCTCTTCAGAGTACTAGACAGGTGCACTTTCCTGTATTTGTAAATTCTTCACAGTGCCTAACCCAATGTCTCTTCACAGTAGGTGATCAATAAATACATCTGCTACTTTCATGTTCACTGCAACTTTCAACTAGTCCTAAGAGAGTTTCCTTTGCTTTGTCACACATTACAATGTGATAAAAAGACTTCAAAGAATCACAGTATAAAGTGAAAGTGACTTTTCTTATCTAAACTTGCTTTTTACCAAAAAAGAATAGAAAAGAGATAAAGAGAAAAAAAATCCAATTAATACAGGGTAGTTAGGAAGGTGTTTTCTATGGAAACACATCCTAAGAAGAAATGAACTTGTAACAGTTCACATGTTCATGGACAGGAATATTTAAGATAGCTGGAGCAACCATTAATTTCCAAAACTCATCGATGCGTTCATTTCGGGTCTATTGCCCAACAAACTTTTTATCTTTTTCCCCAAATATCCATCTTAAAAACTAGATATCCCTAGTTACCATTTCCCCAGCAGTCCTTAGATCTGAATCAATTTCTTCCTTAGCATCAATTACTTCACCAAGTGAATCTATCTGTAGGCTGTAAGAGCTATTATTCAAACATTTACTGAGCAGCAATTGAGGGTACTGCATTTTGCTAAGCTGACAAGGAACACAAGAAGTAAAACTGCAGTCCTTGTAAGCCACATAGAGAAAGATTAGAAATGCAAGTGTAAAGTAACTCAGAAGACAGCCAGAGGCAGTAGTAGTATCTGCTATGAAAAACAACGTCCTTGACCCAGTTTTTCAAAGACCTGCTAAAATTACAAACTCTTCCCTCCCACCAAGATTTCCTTTTTTTTGCTTTCACTTTCTTTCTCCTTTGATTTCTAGAGACCAGAATATGTTTAAAGGATCGGGCCTGAATCACAAGAGATGCAGTTGTTTCCCATATGGGTGCTAAGAGGTCTAGTAGTCCTTCCCTCCTTCATTCACTTCTTCAACGAGTATTTATTGAACATCTGTGATGTGCCAGACACTGTGCTACACTAAGTGGAAACGAAGATAATGACCTGGTTCTCCTGAGGTTCTCAATTTACAATAGTATTCCACTTAGCTATACAGTTAAGAATTGACTTATTGACCTCTGAAACAAAGCCAGAAAACCTCTGAATCTGAAGGGACTCCAGACTAACGTCCTTGTTTTTCCCGTGGGGGCACTGAGGTCCCAAAGTGACTTGCCCAAGGTCACACTGCCATCAGTGACAGAGCTGGGACTGGAACCCAGGTTATCCCGGGCCTCCAACCAGTGCCCCACGTGCTGCCTGTCCCTGAAGAGGGGCGGTCGTAAGACTGAGGAAAAGCAAACGTCGTCAAATTTAGGTCCGATGTCACTCTCCCCCTCCTCCAAAGAGGGTAAAGTCACTGCCAAACAGAAGACAGGAGGTGAGCTGCTGCCTCAGTTTCCCCGCAAGGCGGCGCCGGGCAGCTTCGCTCCCGCACAGACGCCCTTCCTGCACTTTCCATCGGTTTGTTCCATCCCCCCACCCCCGCCCCGGACTCCAACTCCAGAGCCCGGCGGGCGACCATAGAACATCACTCCTTCACTCACAAGGGCTCGCAACAGCAACGCCATGTTCTTCAACAACCATTTCCGGGTGAAGTGTGGGCTTCCGGAAACCCGGCGGCCGCCAGCCCTGCGCGAGATTGTGCTATCGCTGGCGGGTGCCCGGCAACGGCTGCGCAGGCGCACACAGGCGGCGGTGAGCACGAGCGCGCGCTTTCCCGGCTCGCCAGGCTGGCTGTCCGGGCGTGCGGCCGGCCGGCGCCCGCGCTCCCCTGTCACCCCGAGAGGCGTCACAGAGACTCCAGTCCTCGGCGCGGCACTCCTCCTCCTTCGGGCTTTTCATAACTTCTCTTCTTTTTTTTTTATTAAGGTATCATTGTCATTTGTCTTCTCTCAGCAAAACTGAAGGAGCAAAACAGCGGCGGACTCACAGACTCCAAGAAGGGACTAGCGGTTACCAAAGGGGAGGGGTGTGGGAGGGCGGGAGAAGGGGATTGAGGGGCAGCATGATTGGTGCACATGGTGTGTGTGGGGTCACGGGGAAGGCAGTGTAGCTCAGAGAAGACAAATAGGGACTCTGGCATCTTACTACACTGATGAACAGTGACTGCAAGCGGGTAAGGGGGGACCTCGATAATAAGGGTAAATGTAATAACCACATGATTTTTTTGTGAAACCTTCATAAGATTGTATATCAATGATACCTTAATAAAAAAAAAAAAGAAGAATGGCAAGCAACATATCAGAGAAGGAAGGCTACAAGGGAAATAATATTCAAAAAGTGAGGCCAGGCTTCAATTAAGACAAAGTAGAAAGAACTTTCTGAAAACAGGCTGAGGGTTTAGACAAGTTCATCGGTCATGGAACCATGGGGACTGCGGGTTCCATAAGACCCTGCTCATTGGCCTCAGCTCCCCAGTCCTGCTCAGCTTCTCTCCGCTGCCAGGACTCATCTTGTCCCCTAAACACTTAGCCTAAAGCCCCAGCAGTCTCCATCGTTCTCCCAAAGCAACCTGCCCCTCTCTCTTTCATCTTTCTCTTTACACTGTGTTTACCCCTCAGAACTCCCATACTTCCTTATAGGCCGCACAGTGAAATTCAGTCATTCATTAAGCAAATACATTTGTTGAGCTTTATCATGATCCAGGCTGAAGAAACAGTAGAGAATAAAACAAATTTCCTGTCCTCGTGGATCTTATATATATCAGTGAAGGGAAATGAACAACAGGCAAATAAATATAGTTTAATGTCAGATATTGGTACATGCTAAGCAAGGTGAGAATAAAAAATGATAGGGCAAGGTGCTGTTTTGAGAAAGGATGATCAGGCAAGACCTCACTGAATTTGATCAGAAAGGTAAATGCAATGAGAGAGTAATTCATATAAATATAAATCTCAGAAAAGAGCATGCCAGAAGGAGAACAACAAGTGAAAAGGCCCTAGGTTGCACAAATGCTTGGTGTTTCCAAGAAAGAACTAGGAGGCTGGGGCCAAAGGACTAAGGAAGAAATGAGTTTGACAAGGCAACCCTAAATACCAGATCATGGGGGGGCCTGTTGGCCATCGTAAAGACTTCGGGTTCTATTCTAAGTTTGTGTTAGTATAAGTGTAGATGTATGGTTGTTGATTTTGAGAAAGAGGGCTGGAGAACTAGGAGATGAGGAATGGAAGGTAGACATACTTTTCATCATATATCCTTTTGTCTTGAAGTTTGTACAGTATCTGTATAATTAAAATTGAAATAAAAACATCCATGTCACTCTCAAAATCTTATTCTGCAAAAATTTACTCATGGAAAATAAAAAGAAGTAGAACTAGGTCCTTGCTCTCAAGGATATTACAGTTGGGGGGTGGGAAGTAAAATACATATTCACAAAATTGTAAAAAAAATGCAAAACAATGATGTTGGACTCTAATCTCACATGAAATGGAAAATTAACTCAGAATGGACCATGGACCTAAATTTAAGAGCTAAACTATAAAACTCTTAGAAGAAAAGATGAGTAAATCTTCATGATTTTGGGTTAGGGAAAGCCTTAAGATACATCAAAAGCACAGAGAGCAAAAGAAAAAAATAGATAAATTGGACTACATAAAAATTTATACTTTTGTGTCACAAAAGATACCATCAAGAAAGTGAAAAGATACAGAATGAGAGAAAATGTTTGCAAATCATATATCTGATAACTGGCCGGAATATATAAAGAACTCTATAACTCAATGATTAAAATAAATAACACCCAATTAAAAATGGACAAAGGATCTGAATAAACATTTCTCCAAAGAAGATGTACAAATGGCCAATAAGCTAATGAAAATATGATCAACACCATTAATCACTATGGAAATACACATATACACACAATGAAGCACACTACACATACCTCCGAGATGGCGATAATCAAGCAGATACATAATACAAAGTACTGGCAAGGATGTGGAAAAACTAGGTCCCTTATTCATTGCCGATGGCAATGTAAAATGGTACAGCTGCTTTAGGAAACAGTCTAGCTGTTCCTCAGAATGATAAACATAGAATTACCACTGGACCCAGTGATTTCATCCTTAGCATCCTCAGGCATATAATCAAAAGAAATTAAAACATATATCCACACAAAACCTTGCATATGAATGTTCATCACAGCATTATTCAAAATAACCAAAAAGTGGAAATAATCTAAATGTTCATCAACTAATGAATGAATAAAATGTGATATATTCAGAAAATGATTTCTCAGGAATAAAAAGGAATCATACATGCTACAATGTGGATGACCTTCAAAAACATTATACTAAGTGAATGCTAAGCTGTCAATCACAAGAAGCTACATACTGTATGGGTATGATTTCATTTCTATGAAGTGTCCAGCCACCCATTCCATGGCCAATACTTAGACCTCATCACCAGAATTGTTTTAATTCTTAAATTTTTAATTTATGCCACTTTGTGTCACCATCAATTATTTTAGCTTTCATTTATTATTCCTAGCACACCTGTTTATTCTACCCCACTGAGACCTCCAGGCCTTTTATCTCTTCTCTTTACAGTCTGTCAACCCTCTCCTCTCTTTACTTCTACCCAGCTCAAACGATATGGTCTATCATTAAATTGTTCTCTTGCCAATATTAACTCTCTTGCTCAGATGTCCTTCTATCCTGCCCACCTAGAAAGACCCTAACTCTGTAATTGTCCATATATTCCATGCCTGCACATAGATTATTGGGTACTACTGGAGAAAATCACATGAGGGGCATATTGCTACCACCAAATATATTAACCAACTTCTATTATACTCAATTCTGCCCCTCTTCTCCAAAACGGCTATTTTAACTGTACTAGATTCCGAGAGCTGCCATAACAAAACCCCACAAACCAGGGGGCTTAACACAATTAGAAATGTATTATTTCACAATTCTGAAGACTAGAAGTCAGAAATCAAGGTGTTGGCAGGAGCATGTTCTATCAGAAGATTCTAGGCAAGGATCTTCTTTGCCTCTTCCTAACAGTTGCCAGCCATCCCAAGTTTCTTGGTTTACAGCTGCCTAACTCTGATCTCTTCCTATTGTCACATGGCCTTCTCCCTGTCTTCTCTGTGTCTCTTCTTTAACGACTCCAGTCATATTGGATTAAGGCCCATCCTAATGACCTCATCTTAACTTGATTCTATCTTCAAAGACCCTTTTTCCACATAAAGTCTTTTTTTTCACAGGTGGGGGAGATGATTAGGACTTTAACCTATCTTTTTGTTGGACACAATTCAACCCATAGCAGGGACCTTTTCCACATTCCTCAAATTTTGACTCTGACCCCTTCCTAATGTTTCTGAACAGAACACTTCACCTCCTACCTCGGAGACAAAATAGAATAGAAGCTATCAAAAGGAAACTCGGTATGCCACCACTAAACCCAAAATCGTGCTTTTGTCATGTACATGTACCTTTTCTTCTTTTTATCATTTCGTGGAAGAATTGCTGCTTTTCATATTTACAGTGAATTTTATAAGAGTTCTTCAAATTTGACATGTCTAAAATTGACCTCATATTCTTCCTCTCAATATCTGTTCCTCCTTCTGTCTTTTTGTTGTTGTTGAATGGCACACCACCCAGTTACCCAATCAAAAAAAAATGCAGGATTCACCCTTGACCTCGCTTCTCCCTTACACTGTCCATCCCAACACTCCAGTCCTGCTTAAGAGAGCAGAACCAGCATCCTTGGGTTTGTAAACTACATGTCTGTTAATGAGGCCACACTTAATATTTGCTCTTAGGCACCCACATTACATTCAGTTTATCCAGTTGAGTTCACAATCTGAAGTTGTGAAATCACATTTGTTTATATCCTATATTATACGGTTGGTTTATGCATTATGAAGGATAATTTGACTTTTCCCCTGTTTTATTTCATCTCCTTTGATTCATCCTATTATCATTCTAGCATCCTTTGGGGTCTTTTATTTTCTTTTTCATTCATGTAAGGAACTTGAGGACATTGTCATTGCAAGATAAGAGAATTCATGTGAAGTGCTAAGCACAGTACCTGCCACATAATAAGCCCTTGATAAACATTAACAATTGTGGTTGTGTTATTATCCCAATGCTCAGCAGTGTCTGAGCCATGGTAGGCCTTCAAAAAAATATTTATTAACAAATGCATGGATGGGTCAAAGATTAATGAGAAGAATTAATTCCCCATTTCTGAGTCCCAGGCCCATTAAATTTTATATTATCCCTCTTTTATAGATAGAGAAACTGAGGCTGAGGGCAGTTAAGTAACTTGCTCAAAGTCACTCAGCTGGGAAGTATTGACATCAGAACAGAACCTTAATCCTCCTAACTCCCAAGAATATGTGACTAACCCTTCCCCACTCTGCTTCCTGTATCAGTATTTAGGTTAGAAGAACAAGTTGTGGAGCCAGTAAAGCCTGAAAGGCTTCCTAAGGTTGTGTGCCCAGAAAAGCTGATTCTCCTGCTTCTGGCCTTGGGACACAGGGATGTGGAAAGGGCCAAGAGATAGCATCAGAGCACTGCCAAGCCTCACCTCTTTATTCCCCTGTGAGTCTCCCATTTTCCCTGCCCTAAGTTATCTGCTTAGTTATTTCTCCCTAGGAACTCACAATATGGTGTGTCCCCAAGGAGGTACTTTGTTAAGACCAGGAAACCAAGCCCCAGGAAGGTAATTGGACTACTTGCCAGGACTGAGGTCAGTAGAATTGTGGCGGGGGAACAAGGGGTGTAGGGGGTGTCCAGAGAAGTAGCAAGAATTGTACAAAGAATACTGACAACTGCAGGAGACCTGCAGTTACATCTCTGGGTATCAGCTTCCTCATCTGTAAAATGGGGGCAATATTCCTCTTC